CCAAAACGGAGGTTGGAAATGAAATGGTAATCTTTATCAACAAAACACAATACTCGCTAGTGGCCTGAAGTAGATAAACCACTGCTAGTGGTGAACTACTTAGACACCATATTACACGCCCTCCCCACTGGCAATAGTGTCCAACGTATATATGAGGATTGGGACACACCCATTAGTGTTCATAGGTACGATATATAACTAGTAAAAATCATTTGCAATGCATTTTTATAGTTGAAACCTAGAAAAGGTTACTGAATGAGGAATAACCAAAATGGAGGTTGGAAATGAAATGGTAATCTTTATAGCATCAACAACATACAATAATCGCCAGCAGCGTGAAGTAGGTAAACCACTGCTAGTGGTGCACTACTTAGACAGCATATTACCCCCACTTGCATTAGTGTCCAACATATTTATGAGGATTGCGACATACCCATTAATGTTCATAGGTACGGTATATAACAAACAGTCTCATGAGATCAATACTATCATTTGTATGTCATACACAGTGCCAAACTTGTTCAGAAATATCTAAATGTTTTCCGCTTTGTCATAGATTTCCCGATGACTGTTCTGATATATGAAATGTATATATCATTTTCCCATATATATATATTAGGTTGGCTAGAAAGTCCTGATACACTTAGGAATCGTGTTTTAACCTAGAAAGGGTTACTGAATTAGGAATAACCAAAACAGAGGTTAGAAATGAAATAGTAATCTTTATAACATCAACAAAATACAATACTCGCCAGCGGCGTGAAGTAGGTAAACCACTGCTGTGGTTGGACTACTTAGACAGCATATTATCCATAATAGCGTTCAACGTATTTATGAGAATTGGGACATACCCATTAGTGTTTATCGGTTCGGTATATAACAAATAGTCTCATGAGATCAAGACTATCAATGGTGGGAGATGGCTTTGAGCGAGTGAAACTTGGGGATCTTGACGAAGATTACGTTTCTTTGAACAGTGAAGACTGACGCTACAGATTCACAAAGAACTGTAGCAAATAAAAGAAACCACATCACTTGAGAACTACCAGCAGCAGCAGCAACAACTTACATGGATAGCACAAATTACTCGAAGAGTACGTAATCACATAATCAAGATGTTGATATTTCACACTACTTTAAGTAACAGTTTAGGAAGGAAACTGTCATCAAAATTGAAAAGGGTGATAACTAAGGAACTTGAAAAACCGTTTTTCTTGAAATAATTTTTAAGAGAAAGATATAAATTTCAACTGAAAGCAGTACTGACAGTTCGATCAATAAACGTCAAATGTTTCCTTATAAGGAAACGGATATATGACTATTACCTACATGACAAGCTCATGTGAATGAATGAAGAAACAGTGTGGGGGAGTGTTTGTACCTAGGGAAGGTTACTGAATGGAATAATTAAACGAAAGTTGGTAATGAACGATAATACTTAGAAAAAGAACAACACCTATAAGATTCGCCAGCGGCGCGTAGAAGAAATAGGCATCTGCTAAAAGTGAGTCAAGTGAATTCTACAATGAATCCCCAACTGCAGAACAACATACAGTATTTACTACTGTATTTATGTGAATGGAAACATACCGATTATCGTCCGTAGGTATGCTACAACAGAGAGTATTAAGAAAAGTAGAAAAAACTGATAAGGGCCATAAAAGACACAGCACATAATACGAATAATGACGAGATTAGGTTCTTAATGAAAACAGTCGGTCAACACTAATCATACTTATTATAAAACTCAGGTTGTGTGTGTGTCTGTATGTTTATATATTGGATCGGATTTCCTACATTTTTCAACCAATTTCAACAAAACTTCACAGGACTACGTAAAATTACCTTGTGGTGGTTCTGACAGTGCCAAAATTGAAAAACACAATTGTTTTTGCACGAAATAAATTTGAAAACACGATTAAGAGTCATCGCGAGAATGAAAGGGGGACAACTCATATCGAGTCCTACTTATAAAACCCAGGTTGTGTGTGTGTTCGTTTATATATGGGATCGGATTTCCTACAGGTTTCTACCGATTTCAACAAAACTTCACTTTTTTTTACAGTGTAGTGTTTCTTATTGTCTTGCACACTTTTTTCTTTATTTTTACATTCAGAATGCTTTAAAAATTCCATTTACAAGACAATTATTTATAATAAAATTCTATTCAATCGGTAGATCCATAACGACTGAAAACAATGTTTTTGTTTGAGTTTGACCAATTCGTTTAAAAAACAACAAAAAAAAACAAACAAACAAACAAAAAAAAAAACTAATTAAGACATGCGTGTCCGTCAACCTTAAACAATAATCTTTGTCAATTTTATTTTTTCAGTCTTTATGATGGTCGATACTTGATCTATCTCTTTCTGTTACATCCCCGGGCAACGTCGGGCTCTACTGCTCGTAAGAGATAAATAATAATTGTAAATAATAATATTATCATTAGTACAATTATAAATCTATTAAAAAAAACAATGCAGATAATTATTTTAAGTTCTTGGAGAAGACGTAGCTTTTTTTTTTTTTTTAGTGGTACACATTTCAACCAAGAAGCCTTAAGTTAATAGTATATGCATGAAAATAATATGGTTTCAGTCTTCAGTGCTGTCTATTGCCCATTTGACCCAAATATACCAAATTAAAGCAATATCTCTCAGCATCTACAGATTCTTCCAATAGAAAGACTTATAGTTAATTATTAGAAGAGTTGTATATTGGAATTGAATACAATATTCAAGCAAACATTTCTGGGAAGCAATATAAACTACTACAAATAATGTAACATTTGAAACAGTAGAAAAGTCGCTATAATCAATATTTGAAAGACCGATAAAGAATATAGAATTTCAAGGAGTTCATATTAATATGTAAAATAATAAGATAATGATTTATTCAAATAAATACGATATTGTGGTAATCAATAAGATTGAGGCCACAGAAACCTATTTTATTTATAAATGAAAAAAAAAAATATATTGCATAATAAAACCTGTCGTTTAATATTTCTTTTCTTCTTTAATAAGGGCAGATATTATAAGCTGAAACTGACACGAGATGTTATTCATATAAATATAGCCTAAACATTTTACCAATATCGGTCGATTAATACCAATTTTATTGCAAAAAACTGACGTGCATCATAAATCCTGCCATTGATAGTATTGGATTAAGAATGGATCGATACATGAATTCGAGATCTATTTTTGCTAATATTCTCGTCTACTTTAGTATTGTGATTAATATATATAGGGAAAGTTATATATATATATATATATATATATATATATATATATATATATCACAAACCTATTCATTCTGATGATTTAGCTTTGTGTGGGCGAATAATCTCACATTTAAAAACAAACACACAGGCCGATTTGTAATATACACGCGGGATTGATATAATTCACACATTATATGCTTTGTTATTGATCTATAATGTAATTTCATATACTCAGATATATCACAACGAATTTGCTATGAATTTGTCATAAACGATAAAAAGGGACACCCAGTCTCTCTCTCTTCTTTTTTTATTTTCCTTGTGTCTGAATAAAGTGAACTCCATTTATTTTTGTAAAATTTGGTCTGAAGAGATGGAAGTCTGAGTCAACGAAATAAAGTATCACCTGATCGAATAGAGTTTTAAAGATTCTGTATTCATTATTATATTGCTCTGTTCTTACATTGAGCTATCTTTGGTTTTATATCCTCCTTGGAATTATCCTTACTAATCATCACGTGGTATATATATATATATATATATATATATATATATAGTGAACATTGAAGTCAACACTCAGAGGTGAAAGGCTGTTTCATGCTTGACGCAATCGTCAGTCGTCCTTATATTTATATACGCTCTATCTCAGATATTGAGCACTTTATCTCATAAATATAGCACACCTTAAAGTTATATAACTTCAAACATTATTTTTAGTAGGTACCCGTATTTGAGTTGACGCTTCGTTTATTTTAAATAGTATTTCTTTCTTTCTATATTCATGAGATGAGTTATTGTAACTATTTACGTCGTTCGGGCTGAAGTAGGCCGGAAGGTACAACGGTTGAAACGTCGTGAATATAGCAATAAAAATGAGGACAACAGATGTAAATAGTGTAAATAGTATTTATTACATCTATCGGCCAGTGTACTCGAAAAAGATTTAATCAAGAAAATTTGGTTTTCGGCAGGATTTGAACTTGCGCCCCACTTTGCAAGAGAAACGAACTGTCTGATCCGACATGCGCAGTCGCTAGTTTAGAGGCAAAAAAGTTAATATATATATATAATTAATATATATATATATATATATATATATATATATAATATATATATATATATATATTATATATATATATATATATATATATATATATATATATATATATATATATATATATTTATATATATATATATATATATATTTATATATATATATATATATATATATTATATATATATATATATATATATATATATATTATATATATATATATATATATATATATATATATATATATATATATAATATTTATATATATATATATATATATATAATATATATATATATATATATATATATATATATTTATATATATATATATATATATATATATATATATATATATATATATATATATATATATATATATATATATATATATATATATATATATATATATATATATATATATTATATATATATATATTATCTTATATATTATATTCTTTTACTTATTCTATATTTTTATTCGTTATATTTAGTGGATACACGTATTCTTTTTTGCTGTTTTTTAGCCGTGAAATTAATGTCTACCGCTCTAGAAATAGAAAGTATTACTAAAGAAAATATATCTCCTGACTGGAAACGAACCTGTATTCTCGTTTTAATGTCGAAAATCATTCCGAATTCTAGTTTACTAAACACATATACATGTACCTCTGTTGATGTATGAGAGTGTATTTGTGTAAACATACACAAATATGAAAGACTTACGGCCGCATCACGTTGAAACATTGGTTCTCGTCCGATCACTGACGATACGCAACGTCGAGTTTAGTCAGTACCTTGATGGGTAACCGTTTGGGAATACCAGGTGTTGTAAGATTGCTTATGCTTTTTGGGGTAATTGATAATGGCTCAGAATTTTTAATCGGAGAGCCGAGTTCCAATTTTAGTTGGTTTTCCTTACGAGTAAATACCGTTAGGAAAGATATAATCCACCTCTTCTCCCGCCAGGCATGGGTTAATTAGTAAATTTTTTTTATCACTAAACCATTAGTGTCTAAAAAAAAAATTTCAATGTAAAAATATTTACCACCTTTATATAACTTGCAATGGGTTGATAAGCCGTAAAAACAGATCAATCAAAAAATATGAAAGCTATTTCAATCCTATTTATGTATACAACACACATATGATATGTATACATGTCTGCTTATGAACATAACTTAGGCAACGTAGAATGTGACTCGTAATTAGAAAGTTGATTACTAAGTAACACATACCGAGGTATCTAATGACCTTGTGCCAGAGTAAGCAACACTTTCTAAGTGCCGAATAATACACACACGGGAATACACGTTAGAGCGTTTACTTCCCGACCACGAGATCCGGTTTCGAATCTGATTCACAAAGAAGGTGACTTCTACTTTATGTTATCGGCTTGTATGCGCTACCTTTGAGTAAGCGTAATTGTTTCGTCGATACTAGCATAAAGTCAAAAGTCATCGTGACCGAGGTTGTTGAGCGTGCTGACCTTGTTCAAACAGTGGTCCGCTCAGCATAGTTGCAGAATTTGAAGGAAAGGTGGTTCTTGCTGCCGTTAAAGAAGAAAAAAAAAAGAAGAAAAAAAAAGGAAAAAGAAGAAAAAAAAAAGGAGAAAAAAGGAAAAAAAGAAAAAAAAGAAAAAAAGAGAAAAAAAGAAAAAAAGAGAAAAAAAGAAAAAAAAAGAAAAAAGAGAAAAAAAAGAAGAAAATAAAAAGAAAAAAGAAAAGAAAAAAGAAAAAGAAAAGAAAAAAAAAGAAAAAAAAAAAAAAAAAAGAAAAAAGAAAAAAAAGAAAGACAGACAGACAAATTTACGTCTGTAACATGTTTTGGTTAGCAGCCCAAGCAAACTCGGTTAGAAGCAACCAACCATTGTAGATATATGAAGTGTGTGCAAATGTTTACAGGTTTTAGCAAGTTTCCTACTATATATACAGTTATATGTACGGATCTCTGCTGAAAAGTTCTCGGCTATATCTGTGTGTATGTATATATATATATATATGTGTGTGTGTGTGTGTGTGTGTGTGTGTGTAGTCTTCGATAAAACGAATTGAGTTCTCACAGTCACTGGCGTGTTTATGTAAAAATAATTAAATTCACCTTTATCCCTGGAGTGCGCCAACGGCCTGGGGTAGATTCTCCGACTGGCGTCATTTCAGCTGGATTTCGATCCTAGCCAGAGGCAACCGGACGTCCAGTCACAATGATGAGCTGTGATACAGCGACACAGTTAGCTCGTGACTTTATATATATATATATATATATATATATATATATATATATATTATGAAACAGTTGTAGCAGGAGAAAAGCAGGAATACTGAAACTATTGGAGAGAAATGAAATAAAATGTTCATAATTCCATTCGGGTTTATACGGATTCGAAATTATTCATTCCCTTACCAATACAATTTCAATACTCTTCCTTTTCTCCGCCCCTTCATGTTATGTATAAATAATATCACCTGAAGATAACGAAAAGGTTGAAACCAAGGTAGCAGAATCGACATATATATATATATGTGTGTGTGTGTGTGTGTGTGTGTGTGTGTGTGTGTGTGTGTGTGTGTGAACACGCGCCCCATTTAGATGTACTCGGCAGTATTAATTCGTGACTTGGATATATCTCAAACGCCTGGGCAAGAATTTCACAGTTATATATATATATATATATATATTTTTTTTTTTCTCTTCACATGCAATATATATATATTAAATATCTTTTGGCTTTAAAAAATCTACTAAGGGTTAAACTGTAAAAAACGAATTAATCCTTCCTCAAGAGTAATGAAGATACAGTGTGTGAAAGTTAAAAATCAATCTTCTCAATCTTGTTTTTTTTTATTCAAATGATCAGGGATACACCATTCAGAATGAAAACCGAAATTGAACGGAAAGTTAAAAGCAAAAAAAAAAAAAAAATGTATAAAACTTTGATATTTCGATATAAAATCGCATCCTCTTCAGAACGTTATGATTTTATCTTTCCAGGCTCAGAACTTAAGAAACAGAAAGTCGAGTCTGAAAGAAATTCGTAATTTCCGCAAAGAAAAAGTAATTAGAGACTAAAGTCAGAATTCTTTGATTTGCAATTATCATATATATATATATATATATATATATATATATATATATATATATATATATATTATAGAGAGAGAGAGAGAGAGAGCGAGAAGATGTTTCGGCTGAAGAAAACTCGGAAGCATTACATTAAAACAAAAGAAACTAAATCGATATTTATCGTAGGTTTATTAAAACAAATAGAATCAAGATAGACGCTTCGACAGAATAGAAAATATTAAGTGCGCGGGGACAGAGATGAAACCGTCAATCATACAAGTTGATACAGAAAATTAGCTAATTAGTACAATAATTAGTACTGCTGGTGACTTGGATATATCTCAAACGTCTCGGCAAGATTTTTTTTTTGAAATCGGAGAACAAGCGATGAGAACTTTTTCTTTCTTATTCTGTTTTTTTCACGAGGGTGGAAATATGGTTGGTGTAATGGGTAACGACTCAAAATGAGAAACAGAGAAGAGTTCGAATTCCAGTTGGGTTCTTTCACGTGAGTTATACGCAAATATACTTGGGAAAGTTAAAAATCAATCTTCTCAATAAATCAATGAAATACGGATTAACTACACATGAATGACTTAGATTTTTTTTTGGGGGAGTGACGTTATTTATTGAAAAAAAAAAGTTTGAACAAAGTAACTATAAAAAAAATTAGATTAGTTGACTGGAATGTAAACGTATAGAAACTACTTTAGTTACAAAATGGGGGATCCATTTATATAGTAATTGTAATATACAATTGATCCCCTATTTTGTGTCCACGTTATAATTTCTTACAAGCTTAAAAAATTTTTTTGGCTTTAAATAACAGGCAAAGATTTAATAAGCTGTAGAAAACGGATCATTCAATCAATCAATTCTGGCTTAGATTTGGAGTGGGGACAATTATTATTATTATTAACAGCAATAACAACGTCGAAGAAATCAGCACGATGAAGATTGAATACAACAACCATCTTGAGCAGTTCTCGTCTAAGAGAATGAGAAGAGATCGTGCTTTTCGACGCTGTTCGCATTATGAGGAAAATTGTTCAAGTTCCCGCTTCGATCTCCTGCTGAGATTTGGTGGTTTTGCAAAAGACGGCGTACAGCGAAGTAATCATGATCTATTGCAATTATCATCAGGTCTGCTGGACGCGTTTTTCGAGCCTGTGTTGTCTGGTGGCTCTATAAGTCTCTACCATATTTCTAATTTGGTCTAGCTTTATTTGAGATGGTCTAACGGATAAGAGAATAGAAACCGAGTCGCAATTTCAAACTCCGGCTAGGATTGTTGGGCGTCCATTTCGTACTGACGTCCATGGGTAAAGCATGAGCCTAGTTTTCTCTTCAGTTGTAAGTAAATGGCAAGAAAGTTGGAACATTAGGGTAGTCGTGCTTAAATGCCGGATTAGTACCATAGCCCCGGAAAAAAGAAGCAAAAAAAAAAAGGAGGGGAAAAAAGAAGCAAAAAAAAAGGAGGGGGAAAAAAGAAGCAAAAAAAAAGGAGGGGAAAAAAAGAAGCAAAAAAAAAGGAGGGGAAAAAAAGAAGCAAAAAAAGGAGGGAAAAAAAGAAGGAAAAAAAGAAGGAAAAAAAGGAGGGAAAAAGGAAAAAAAGAGGGAAAAAGGAAAAAAAGAAGGAGGGGGAAAAGAGGGAAAAAAGAAGGGAAAAAGGAAAAAAGGGGAAAAGAAGGAAAAAAGGAAGAAAAGAACATACACACACACGTGCAATGACTGGATCTTCATAGATTGTTCGAGAAATAGCGGCAAAAATCATATCGAGAAAAAAAAAAAAAAAAAAAAAAAAAAAAAGGTTTCGTCCGAAAGAGGGAGTGACTTTTACTTTGTAATGTTATTTTTTTAAATCGCCATGAAAAACTTAGCAAACAAGAAAAAAAAAACCTTAGAAACAAAGAAAACAGTGATGAACTGTTATGTCATAAAAAAAAAAATCTTTATTTTAAATGGTAGTGAGTGCTGGGCAATTCCCTCACAGGTGAAAAAAAGATAGGAGCCGAGAGAATGTTAATATTAGCAGTTTCCCTACAAGGAAACATTTGACAATCATTGACTGAGCTACTGTTTTTCATTGAAGTTTATAAAATCTTTCTCTCTAAACACTTTTTTTATGAAAACAATTTTCTCAGGTCCAGTAGTTTTTATCACTCTTTCCATTATTGATGGGTGTTTCTTTCCGAAACTTCTATTTGAAATAGTGTGGAATGTTAACATCTTATGTCATTATTTTCTCCGAGTTACATGTGCTATACATTTTACTTGTTGCAGCTCTTTGTAGTCCTCAAATGATGTAGTTATCTGTTATTTGCTTTGGTTTGTGGTTCTGTGGTGCCATTCCACAATGTTCAAAGAAGGAAGATCTTTGGTAAAACTCTCAGGCTTCACTCGCTCAAAGGCCTTTTTTCGCCATTGATCTTAGGAAATGGTTATTGGAAATACAATGGAAAGAGCGTGGGATCAGGAAAAGGGAAACAAAAAGGACAATTTAAAATCGGAAAGAGGCAGCTGAAATTTCTTGGATGAGGAAAGAGGACTTAGAGAATTCGACACTTATAAGGAAACAATGACTAACGTAATGATTCCCAACGTAGGGCGCATGCCTCACCAGTGGGTCATAACATTTTGGTGGGGCATGCATAGGATGTGAACCTTTTAGTTTACTATACAAATAGAATAAGGGGGCAATTCGAGAAAGATTTATTAACAGTGAATTGTTTTCTAGTGAGTCTGAGTGTCTATGTTAATGCATACGATGGA